TATATATATATTATTCACAGGAGTAATTGTCATGTGAACAGTCATTTAGAAACTGATTTTAGAAGCACCACACCATATTCATAGTTTTCCTTTTTAAGTATTGATTCTTATAATCTTTTGTTTGACTATTGTTATGTCTTGATTAAAATAGTTTTAGATGCATGCTTGATACATCATGACAACACATAATAAAACCGATTATAATAAAGTTTAGGAGAGCATTGCTGTTCAGGGTGTGATTCAGCTGTAGGCCAGTAGTGGGCGTACCAGGCACTGAAGAACCATGTACTTATAGCCGGTACTTCCGGTTCCCTGTCAGCATTGGTTTCCTGCCTTCACAGACAGCATTAAACTGGTGCTCACTCCAGTAACTGGTGTTGTATGGTCCATTCACTTCACATTTTAATCTTTTCAATATTTATGTGGTTTCGTCACGATTTCAGTTAACGAACACTAAATTTTCTTACACTTCTATTGCTTCTCTTGATGAAAACAGGTTATTAAAAATGAAAATTTAAAACACCATTTATCTCCCCCCTTAACTTCACTGCTGCTTGCACTTAATTTTGGATAGTTGTATGTGGTCAAAGTCAAAGGTGAGTGAAATCAGCAAGTCATATGCCCAACTGCCCGTTTCCGGTTGATATTTTGCCACTGAATTGTTGCGAAACGTGCACTTTGCTGGAAAGCACTGATTTTGCTCTGCGTTCTCTCTGCAATTTTCTCGCTCTCTCCCCTTATTATATCACTTACTCTATGTCCCTCACATGTTTTCTCGATGTCTACTTTATAGGCATGAGTGCGCTCTTACCACCATGAAGGAGTTGTAATGCTTTTCAGGGTGGCCGTGGCATGCTTTTATTCTGCCCCTATATATTATTCATTGTAATACAACTGAGCCATAAAATGGTCTGTGTGCAAAGGGGTGAAAATAACATGCTCTTTCCCTTCAAGAGGAAAAACTGATATGTGCAGCACTTATGCCTTCATAAGAAGCTGCTTAGCAGAAGTTGATATCCAAACTAAAAGTGAAAATCTAACCTGTTACTTCATAAGTGCAAACAACTGATATAACCTTTCCACCATTGGCCTCATTTACTTACAACTCTACCTCCTCTTTGCCTATTTCCCCTCTCCTATCACTTCTTAGGAATAATCATGACAGCAGTGGCAGATTTGGACCGTGAGACACAAGATCGTTATGAGCTTGTCGTCAAGGCAACAGACATGGCTGGACAAATGGGTGGTCTCTCGGGCTCCACCACGGTGACCATAGTGATCACAGACGTTAATGACAACCCGCCGCGCTTCCCACAGAGTGAGTTTGTCCCGCACATTCTCTTACCTTAGGCTTTGAAGGAGATGGCGATGTAGGAGGAGAAAGACAAAGCAGTTGGAAATGACAGGCGGACTGTTCCCTGAACAAAAAAAAAAAAGTATAATAAAGACACCTAATGTGACTTGCAAACCTGCAGTTCACTTAATAATAGTTGCATGACTGCCCTGCATACAGTCCGAGAAAATTGCCTAAATTCAATTTGGGAGCCATTCATACCAGCAGGTCATAATAAAATAGTCTATCAAGTGAGGAGAACTGATTTGTTCCACTGCACTTCTTATTGTTTTTATCATTTATTCAGGGTAAGCTTATAACCTGTTTACTCAACACAGTTGATTATTTATCATATTTAATGTGACAGTTATTTTCTTTTCTGCCTTTATGTCCCATCCATGGTGTCTGGTGTGGACATTCACAAAAGCTAGATTTAAATAATTGAAATGTATAGAATAAATCACCTAACCCCACTGGCACCTAAAGAGCTTCTAAAATGTAAACACAGTTTAAATGTTGACCACGTACATTTAGTAAACTGCTTGTTTTTATACCTGTGCTAGTTTTTTAATACAAACACAAATAATATTCATTTGAATTCTACAGTTTGCAAAGAAATAACATTTGCAGTAAATTTCGAGTTATTTTTATTAATTTATTATTTTTTTGCTTATTCAGTTTCTCCTTTTCGTCTTTTGTTGGGGACGACGTTGTAGTGTAGCCCCATAACGATAGTGCATTTGATTAAGTAAAGGGCACAGCCAGTTTAGTTGGCAGATAATGATATGTCTTCACACACCTTTTCATATTTGTGTATGAATCCCTTTCTTCATCTTAGTAAATCATATTTGACCAGTCACAGTGATAAGCTCTGCAGAATTATAGAACCACCACTGCAGGATATGGGGAACAGAACCTAAAGTATGCTTTCATAAATCAGGTGCACAGGATGATGACATATGGTATGTGTAAGGACTTATATGTTTGATCTTTTTCTTTTTTTTTTCTCCTTGTCACAAGAATCTTTAAAACTATATATTTAGTCTATAGATCTCTCACAAACCTTAGAGGTTTTGCGTGATTTTTTTCTGTCATTTTTTATGTAGCATCAGGATCTTAAAAGCTATCAGTTGTAATACAAAAAAGTATTACACATGTAGTACAATGTGTGCAATATATTTAAATATACACCTTAGAATAGAATAACAATAAAAGTAAACATGGAAAAAAAGAGTTAAAAAACAGCAGATGTAGACAAACTGCAAGTATATTTTGATGTAGTGAAATATCACTTAATCATAATAACTTTTCATTGACATTTTTTGCACAACATGTGACACCATAGCAATAGTTATTTGTCTGTCACTGCCATTTTTTTTCTAACTTTGCCTGTTTTGTTATAAGCTCATTACCTTACTATACACCTTGTTTGAACTGTCTATACGTTCTCCCCTCTGGCCATCTTCTCAATTTACCAGAGATGTACCAGTTTTCAGTGTCGGAGGGAGCAGCTGTGGGGACACCGGTCGGACGTGTCATTGCTACAGATGCAGACATGGGGGAAAACACAGATATGAGCTATCTGATCAAAGAAGGAGGAGAGCTATTCAAGGTTACAACAGATGCAGAGACACAGGAAGCTGTTGTCTCCATCAAGAAGGTACATTTGAGTAAAAGCAGTGTCACAACACTGCTTTTACTTGCCTTTTTTTCTGTTTAACAATACAACAAATATACAAAATATTGATGGTACAAGTTTACCTCTCAGACCTGAAAAGGCAACAACAAAAATCCAGGTTACATTTTTCATTTTTTCAACTGTAGATTTGTTTGGTGCACACTAGATATAGCTTGTAAACTTCTGAACCATCATTTTAACTGTGAAGCCAAGTTAAATTTAGCATCGCTTGCTTAAAGGTTGGGCAGCTTGGTGTCACTCTTCGCCATTTCATGAATTTTGCATCATATCAAAGACTACTACTTTAAGATTAAATCTTTGGTCATCTGCTTGAAGGTTGACTTGAAAGGGGATTTTTTGGGGGGGAGGGTATTGTACATACAATTCAAACATTCTGTCACATGTTGTAGTCCTTGGCACAATGGATAAGTAGAAATAATTGGAATTCAGTTGGCAAGAAATAACTATGAAGGCCATGTCCTCTTTTAAGAAATTCTGAGACACACTGTAATCCACTGAAATACATTATTGTTGTTCAGTATTTGAACACTGGTGACCCCCACCCCCAAAGTATAATAATAATAAAATAAATAATAATAATTATAATAAACTTGAACACATTGCCATTGTGTTTCACCAAAGATACAAAGACATAAAAAGTGTTTCTCATTAGTGGGAGATCATATTGTAATGGAACCTGGCACTGTTTTTGATGTGGGAGTGTTAATTACATTTACTGATTATATACTTGTTAGGCAATACTGCACGTACTGGTCCAGTTTATACTTGGCATTGAGATTGTCCTGGCTAATCCTATTACAGATGACAGCTCGACAGACATTCGTATGCATCTCCAAATGTGCAATAAGTTAGCTTGTGAAAGCAGAAATACTTTCAACACATTAGAAATAATTACAAAGCTTATGAGACTTAATTTTAGTAATTGTGAGTGGGTCTAGTTTTGCAGATCAAATTTAACTTGTTAAAATTGATCCAAATTATGTGCTATTAGATTTTGATCAAACCTAATCACCTTTTTTGTTTGTATAGTATTTTTGATCTATCTGGAAATATATATAACTAGTTGTATATTGGTTCTTTATTATAACTATGGGAATTTTAATATTCACTGCTTAAAGAAAATAGATACATAAATAAAATGGTATGGGCCTTTAAATCATGTATTCTTAGTGCATCCTGTGTGCACCAACTCTCACAACTGTCATCTTGAATTTAGATCATCCAAAGTGCATCTTTGTATTTACATTACATTTAGTCATTTAACAAACACTTTGACTTAAAGCAAGTTAGGGAGGAACACCATTTAGGCTCTGGTGCAGTATAGGGAACCTTGGCAAATGCCTTAAGTGCTGTATCTTCTACATTTACAAAACAATAAATGACAGTAAAGGTGGAAAAGGTACAAAGCTACAGTAAGTGCATGTTAAACATTTAGAGTGTTAAAACAGATGAGGGGATTTTGTTTTTCTTTGTGTATGTGTACATAGTGACTTGTTGGAATCACCAGTTAAAATAATCTGAGAGTTTTGAAATGTAGCTTTTATTCATTAAAAAAATGTCAGATGCAAATGAATAAAAAACAAAAAATAATTTGGGCTCCAGTTAAGGTATTTCTCAGTTTGATCAACAATGGTATTGATATACTTTTTTATAAGCACTATAATTTACCACAATCACTTCAACAAAACCACTGTATGTACATTTTTATGACAGATACAATACACAGAATGTGTTTACTTACATGAAAAATGTAAAAGCACTGAGCACAGGAAACTGATTATCCCATTAAAATATAATGAGTAACTGCAGCAGAATAGCATGTTTCAGAGAAGCAGGTGAGTGGACCACATGCAGAGTTTAACGTCTTTAAGGACAAAATAGCTGTGTTTATTGTCATTACAAAACAATTACCATTGGGGGTGGGGGTGTAATATTTTATGATCACTGTAACAAACCCTATTTCATTAGAATCAAAGGTGACAGCACAGTGAGCATTAATGTAACCCAAACAATTGACATCATTGGGTTGACTGTTTACTATTTTTGTTTCATTTTCAGCTCCTAGATTTTGAGAGCAAGCGGACACACAATGTGGTTGTAGAAGCTGTAAATAAGCATGTTGATCCTCGTTTTGTGGACCTGGGCTCTTTCCGAGACCAGACCATTGTTCGTGTGAGTGTGTCGGACATAGATGAGCCACCCATATTTCAACCTGCCGATGGCACTACAATGGAAGTTCAAGAGGATGCCAAAGTCGGTTCTGTGGTAGGGATTGTCACAGCCCGGGATCCAGATGTGACAAATAAAAAAGTGAGGTATGTGTGAGATCAGGCTATACAAAAGTAATAGAATGCATTGTCTGAAAATACATTTAAGGTGAATTCTCATGATAAGGTGCACACAAGTTGATTTTTTTTTTTGTCTTCAGTCACAGGTTATCCATTCATGAACTACATAGTTTGTTTGTTTTTTCAGTTCTATCACAGCTAAAATACAAAGTTTGCAGAAGATTTCCAGAATATTTCAGGACTACAATGTTTGTATGAGAGCAGCTTTGGAGAACCTTACATGTAAAATGTTGTCACTTAACATAAGCAATGACAGAAATATCCAACTGTTATGGCTAAGGGCGACAAACATAAAATCTGCATACTATGTTCGTCTGCCTAAATGTAAAAGTATGCCGTTTCTTGTGTTTTTCTGGTTTGCGTTTGGTACGAATGTCACGTTCCAAGATCAAAGCAGATTTGTTCCACATCCTTATGTTTCTCTCCGCCCATTGCTTCACCTCAACTTTCTGCTGTTTGATATTCCTACATTTGATGTAATGGAACAATGAAGCAATTTTACATGGAAAATGTTTTGATGTCAGCTGTACTGACTAGCATCTCCCCTTAAACCAAGCCCAGCCACAGAGGACATAGGAGTGCAGTGGATTTACTTGTTTTTTTTTTATATTTTTGCTTTGTTTGATGTTATAGCAAGAGGTAACAGAAACAGTACTATATGTAGAAACACATTTCAGACTGTTTTATCACTTGGGTTTAGTTGAGTAAACTGTGTGCAAAAGAGGAGTCACCTTTTCTACAAAATATAAATGGGGTAATTTTAAATATTGTTAAATATATTTGACTATATTATTATTATTATTATTATTATTATTATTATTATTATTATTATTATTATTTAAATTTATATTTTTGTTGTCTTTACCACAAGCATTAAAACTGAGACACCCTTAGACTGCAACAACAGCATGATGCATAAATTAGGCAGTGAAAAATGCAGTGACAACACTAAAGCACATCTGCCTGCAGCATTTTTACAGAGGAATATACTACTTGGTCTGCAAAAGTCACAAACATAATATAAATCATTATGCCCTGCAATAGGAAAGAGCATCTGCCACTCAGATGCAGGGGTTTGTTGTTTATAGGACTTTCCGCAAATATACTGCAACAAATTAGAAATGTGTTTAAACTTGTTAAAAATAGCATATGTCTATTAACTAAAACTAGAACTCATTTGAATGTGCTCATGTAGGATTAGGAGGAAAACCCTTCATTTCTAGCAATTATTTTTTGAATGCCTGTGTGACTGACAGAGGATGCCCCAACACACAGAAGTTAGTTCTGTGAAAATTGCCTCAATTAAAAATACATGACTTTTATGTTACAATGTGTAATTTAGCACAGGATAGTGGCACCACTGCCTTAAAAACTGCAGTAGAAGGTATTGAGGTGAAGCCATACAAGCATAAAGAGTCTGTCTGTGTGATTATAAGTATTTGAGTAAATAATCGGGAAGAATGAGTGAAAACAACCTCATCTTAAGAAAGTAAGTGACTTAGCCATTTTTGGCTAGATAGTGTGAGGGTGAAAATACATTTATACCATGGACAACTTCACTATTTTTTTTTTCTTTTGGGACATCTAAAATATATATCTGTTAATGTCATGGTG